GAGCCCGGCCCGAAACACAGTCGGGCTTACTGTGTTAAGCCCGAGGTCAGGCCCGCGGGCCTAATTATATGACCAAGCCCGGCCGGGGTGCGGGCTGGGCCGGGCCGGGCCGTCGGGCTACCTGGCCCATGAACAGGTCTAATTGTAGCACAAAAGTTTACCCAACAGGATAAGTTTGCTGTAGATCAAGAAGTCTGCTGGTCTCACCAACCCCTCTTGGCTGTAACTGGCTGGCTGGAACGATACTTGTATGGTTCTATTTCTGTTTAATATTATCCTTTGAACTATCAAAAAAAGAAAACCATAAATGCTTCAAGCAAGTTCACCCAATCTCTTAAACAATGATGAAAAATGAAATTTGATTAAGAGGATATCGGGATACAAAAAAGTAGATAGACTGTAGTTCATGAATTGTGTCAAAAACTCCTATCCAAGAACTTTGTTACCACCCAAGCATGATGGCTATCATACTTTGTTGAAATTGTTGAGAGAGGGATTTCAACATTGGCAAAACATTATAAGTGTGGGAAGAAATGCTTAATTGGAGAAGAGAATATGGGATAAATACCATATTGGAGGAATTTAAATTTGAAGAGATTGAAGAAGTTTAGAAAGATTACACTCAAGGTTAACATGGAATTGATAAAGAAGGGAGGGCAGCAAACATGAGTTTGTCTTCTATTTGGCTCTTTTGTTCAAGTCCATTTAAAAATTCAAGGTATGTTTAAGTCTATTTATGAAAACCCAACGTATGCTTAAGTCTTTTATCATTTTTATATATTGAAACTTATGCCTCGAGACCAATTTCTCACTTCTCTAGGTTCAACCACCTCATTTATGCTTTTAGCACGAATATTACCTTTCAGCATAGGGATGCAAATGGATCATATCGGATTTGAATCAAGGTATATTCAAATCAGATTTGATACACTGTAGATCCAATCAGATCTCATAAATACCGATTTGAATTTGAATCCGATCAGGATGTTAGATATCCGAATAATATCCGATCTATTTTAATTTAAAAATAATAATAAATTATTAAAAGGAAAAGAAAATATAACAGTTTAAATAAAGAAAAACAAAAAATACAAGTATTTTTTCAACTAATTTCATCATATATATGGGAAAATCTATGATGCGGAAAAGATATGGTATGAGAAGAGTTTTGACCAATCAAAACCCACCCATGAATTTTGATAAATAACACCTGATTGGCTACCACATTTATGGTCCCAGTTAACTGGTCATAAGTTTTTCAGATATTATATCTTTTCCATATCATAGTCGAACCCCATATATATATATATATATATATATGTTTCTTCTTATAAAAAATTTACAAAAATACAATAATATATATCCTTTCAGATCATATAGGGGTGATCCTAATTCGATCAAAATTTTAATCGAATCCGATTATCCGATCAGATCCAAAAATCCAAAATTAAGATATCAAAATCCAACAAAATAGAATCAAATCATATCATAATCCGATCCATTAGCACCTCTAAAAAGAAAATTCAGCACCCTAACCCCAATCCCAAGTCCAATACATCCATCCTATTGCCCAATGCCCATTCCCCAGGACACAAACAACTACCAAAATTGGGACATCCGGCACTTTGGAATTGGCCTAGCCCACCTTGGCAGAGTCTAGCCATGATCCAGCGCGCAGCCTACCTGAAAGCCCAGACTACAGAGATGAATTACTCAGACTTGTACATGGGGGGTTGGTTCCACCCAAGGTAGATCTTGTAAAAGGGTCCATGTTCACAAGCTTCACTTATTTTTGTTTATTCATGTTGACAAGATATAATGTAGATCTAAATTTGATTTGTTTATTTTTTATTTTGAATCAAATTTTATCTATTGAATTTACATCAGATTTGAATCAAATTCAAATTGCAATCGGATATCGAATGGCACTGATAAAGTAAACTAAAAAATTGTTCAAAATATTATTACAATATTATAAAATGAACTAAAAATGATTCTAACATTGAACAAAATATATTGAAAACAAATTTTATAAAACTTGGGTTGAAAGGATTACACAATGGAGATGGCTCATCCTCCAACCCATAACCCCCCAATTCAGGTGCAAGCAGGATTTGATTTCAAGTCTCCATTACGACCAACAGGAGACCTTACCAACCAGTTGGCTGGCTTGAACCAATTCAAACCTACTTATATACATAGAATACAAATTTTAAGTATATAAAAACATATACGTTATATAGGCATATACATTTAAATTTATTCAGATAGAGGTGGATCCACATTTGATCCAAATATAAACAGATCAAATTTAGATCTCTTAACCGGATTGGATTCGATTTTCGACAAGTGGGTACCATTTGCGGCCCTATCCCCACTGAAGACCACCAGGAAAGAGCTGAACAGGAAGGCCAAAGTGGGGAGGAAGTCACTAGAGACGAACCGACCATCCAGTGGAATACCAAACCTTGTGAATCTAACAAGTTGAATGTATGGAAGAGATGCCACCTGGCAAGAAAGGAGCAAGCAGTCACAAGCAATCACTGAAGGTTGTATATTAAAGCCGTGCCACCTGAAAATTTAGGTATGCTGTCGCTAAACAGTAAACATGACCCGTAGTAATATAATTATGGCTTGCATAAATGTTCTTTCACCAAATTAGTTTAAAAAAAAAATCCTTCAACCTAACAAGAACGAAGAACCAACCAAGAACAGTAGCGAGTTTCTGTTTTTGGATGACTTGGGCATGATATTGAAAAATTTACTGGAAAGAAAAGGTGAACACACCATTAAAATGTGTTTCTGGCTTCTGCCTAACTAATTTAAAATGCTCCCAGTTCCAAGACCCAACTAAGAATGCTAGCCAGTTTTTGTGTTTTTGGATGACTTAGGCATGATATTGATGCCAACCTTAGAAGCTTTTATTGGAAAGAAAAGATGAACACGTCATTCATCCTTGACTGGGGAGAGCAAGGGTTTATTAGAGAAAAAAGCCTCCAAGTTGCCTATGACCAGTTCTTGCAGGGCATCGAAGGACTCTGGTGTCAGCACAGCTCTATGTGGAGATAAAATAACATTATCCAATGCAAAAAGCTCCTTTGGCACATCGGGCTCCTTCTCAAAGACATCCAAACCAGCACCTCCTATCTCTCCTTGCACCAAACATCGAACCAGTTCCTTCTCATCAATAAGAGCCCCACGCCCGACATTAATGATAATTCCTTCCTTTCCCAATGCAGAAAGAACATCCTTGTTAACCATGTGAAAAGTTTCCTCAGTCAATGCACAAGAAAGGATAAGCACATCGCTGTCAGCTGCTAGATCATAGACATTTGAATAATAAGGAAATGAAACTGATGGCTTCTTCCTCCTTGAGTTGTAAGAGATACTGCAGCCAAAAGCCTCTAGTCTTTTTGCAATTTCAGAACCAATACTTCCCAGCCCAACAATCCCCACTCGCTTGCCTCCTAACTGCAACAATAACCACATCATTAATAAAGGAAGATCAGTTGGAGAACCAGTAAATGAATCTATACTTTGACATGTGGTTTAGAAGCATGCATGGATGGTAATGTAGTAGGAAATGGAACCTAAGATTGATAATACTCCATCGACTTTACATCTAGTTCACCAAAATTTGAATTTCCTCAGAATCTTCAGATCTACCTGCCAGTGTCCCAATGCAATTGTCAAATATCATCAACATGAACAACAAAGATATTGTACAGAATACATTAAACCGAGTTGAGCTTCTCACGAGCTATTCGAGCTCAGCTCGGCTCGGTTTAAACCGAGCTTTGAGCCGAGCCCGAGCCTGATATATAGGCTCATTTGTTAATCGAGCCGAGCTCGAGCCTAGTGAAGCTCGGCTCGTGAGGCTCGCGAGCCTAGTATAATAAATAAATATTTTTTTATTACATACATATACATATAAATATATATAATAAATAACTTTTATTTTATATAATAATATTTTTGTTTTTTATGTATAATAGTAAATAATTTTTATAATTCTTATTTTTTTGTATGTAAAATAAAAACAATTTTTATATGTATATTTTTTATTTTTTATATGTATAATAATAAATAATTTTTATAAATCTTAATTTTTTGTATGTAAAATAAAAAATATTTTTATAGTATGTTTTTTATTTTTTATTTTTAAATTGGCTTGCAGTCGAGCTCGAGCTTTGAACCGAGTCGAGCTCAAGCTCAAGTTTCTAGCTCGAATTGAGCTCGAGCTCGAGCCTAATATAGTTTCAGTGAGCCGAGCTCGAATAGCCAGGTATTCGGCTCGGCTCAGCTCGAATCCACCCCTACATTTATGCCTGATTCAGCTGTACATTTTTTCATGGATGCCAGTTCATCAACAGTATACAGGCTTGAACAGAGGGGAGTTACAAAGAAGCTAGCAGCAGATCCTGCTTACTTCTACTCCTAATGCAGCAGCTCTACTTCCCCCAGGAGGGAGTGTGAGTACTTGTTGCAGTTTGATGGCAACTTATGAAGGTCGCTTGTTCCTCCCTCAGCAGCTGGAATAGGGGACATTTTTAGGAATTCAAACGGGTACATATTGTGGGTATTTAGTGGCACAGTTCCAGCTGTAGATGCTTCAGAAGCAGAGACCTGCTCCCTCCTTGAAGGCTTAAGGACTGCTAAAAGGCTCAACTTGAGCCCTTTAGCTGTTGAAGGGGACTCAAGGATCACCATCAAGTGGGCTAAAGACTTGGATGAGGGGCCATGGACGATAGTTCATCGCCTGTCAGAAATTCATGAGCTGTCATCATTGCTGAACTGCTCTTTTAGATGGATACCCCGAGAATTTAATCAAACAGCTGAAGTTTTAGCAAAGTACGGCTTGGGAAGGGACTTTTTGTATAGTGCTGCCCCATTGCCTTGTTAACAGTTCCAGGCCTTTTTTGCATTTGTGGCCTCTTGTACATTCCTCCCCCTTTTTCTGAATACAAGTTACCATTTTCAAAAAGATGTAAACTAGTCCTCAAAATAGGTGTAAACTTAAAAATTAGAGAGAAAAAGGAGGAAGAAAAGTAAGAGCAGCAGTACAAGAGAAGAAGATGGAGAAAAGAGGAGGAAGAAGAAAAGGTTCGAATAATCCTTCCCTCCCTTTTCTAATCCTTTTTACTAAAAATTAATGTTAAAATAATTACAAGTATGCCCTTGAGTGGGCAGCCAGCTAGGCAGTAACATAAAGAGATCAAACAAAAAGAAATAACAGGCCCATTAGCTAACAGGAAAATAGAAAAAATATTACAAGAGAAAATACTAGGACCCATTCGGCCTAGTCTCTTTACACTCCCCCTCAAGCTGAGCATACATGTCAATCATGCCCAACTTGCTTATATAGTGTGTCATTTTCCCTCTCAGAACTCCCTTGGTCAAGATATCAGCCAATTGTTGTTCTAATGTGATGAATGGCAAATAAGCTTCTCCTGAGAAAACTCTTTCCCTTATAAAATGTCTATCAACCTCAATGTGCTTAGTTTTGTTATGTTGAACAGGATTATGTGCAATATTGATAGTTACTTGATTGTCACAGTAGAGCATCATTGGCTTCTCATAGTGAACCCCCAATTCTTCTAAAAGGGATCGTAGCCACAGTAATTCTAACACACCATGTGCCATTGCCCTGTATTTTGCTTCAGTTGAGGATCTAGCAACTACAGATTGTTTCTTACTCCTCCATGACACAATGTTCCCAGCGACCAGAGCACAATAACCCGAGGCGGATCTCCTATTATCAATACATCATGCACAATCAGCATCAGTGAAAGCTTCCAGCTTCATATGTCCATGTTTGGCAAATAGAATACATTTCCCTGGAGCACCTTTCAAGTAACACAAAACCCTTTCTACAGGAGCAAATCAAAAGTAACAGCTAGAGATAACAAAACCCGGACTAAGGTCATCTTAGCTACAGGAGCAAATGCCTCAAGATAGTCAATACCATACATTTGAGTGTAGCCTTCAATAACCAGCCTAGCCTTAAACCTCTCAATAGATTCATCAGAGTGATATTTAATGGTAAACACCCATTTACAACCCACCGGTTCCTTCCCTTCAAGCAAGTCAACAATATCCCAGGTATGGTTCTTATGCAAAGCATCCAGTTCAGCCATCATAGCATCCCTCCATTCAGGTTTAGATAAGGCTTCCGGTATGGACTTGGGTATCACATGGGAAGAAACAGAAGCAAGAAAAGAGTAGTAGGAATGAAATAGAAGGCTGTAAGACAGGTGTTTGGAGATACAATGGGCTATACACTTCCGCTTGCCCTTGCGGAGATCAATAGGAAGGTCAAGGTCTAGGAAAGATGTAGATGGGTCAGAAGAAGGCTGACCTGTTACCTCAGTAATGATGGGAGGAGCAAGAGGCTCTTCTGTAGGAGTGGAAACAACTTGCCCATGTCTGAATCTGTGCCTTTGGTACCACCTTTGGAGAATAGGATGAGGAGGAATTACAAGAGAATGAGGTGGAGGAGGAGGAACAAGAATATTCGAGGTAGGTCAAGTGGGAGAAGTGGACACCTCATGAGAGGACTTAAGAGGAATGGGAAGAGGAACAGTTGGAGACATAGCAAAGGGTTCTTCAGATTTCTCCCCCTCAGGAGAAATACTAAAGAAATGAATTAACTCAGCAAATGTGACATCCCGAGATACAAAGCGGGTGCCACTAACTGGATCAAAACAGCAATATCCCTTCTGTGTGGAGGCATATCCCAGAAAAACACATTTACGAGCCTTAGGTTCAAATTTGTGCCTTTGATGGCTGTGAACATGCACATAACAAGTGCATCCAAAAACACGGAGAGGAAGAGAAAACAGATCATCATCCGAGAAGAGAAGGCTAAAGGGGGTTTTGAAGTTAAGAACACGGGAGGGCATACGGTTGATCAAAAAGGTAGCACTAAGAACATCTCCCCAAAATTTTATAAGAACATGGGATGCAAACAGGAGGGATCTAGCAACTTCAACCACATGTCGATTCTTCCTTTCCGCCACTCCGTTCTGTTGTGGAGTGTAGGAACAAGAACTTTGATAAATAACCCCAAAAGTTTCAAGATAGGCGGAGAGGGTTTTCTCAAAATACTCCTTAGCATTATCAGAATGGAATATTTTGATCCGAGTGTTAAACTGGGTGAGGATGAGTTCATGAAATTTTTGCACAATAGCTGGTACTTCATCCCTGGATTTCATGAGATAAATTCAAGTGTAACGAAAGTAGTCATCAATAAAAAGGATAAAGTACCTGTAACCCCCTATAGTTGGCAAATGATATGGCCCCCACACATCAGAGTGAACAATATGAAAAGGAGAAAGAGATCTTTTATTGCTTACTGAATAAGAATGTCTATAATGCTTTTCCAGTTCACACGACTCACAATGAAGACTCGATAAAGACGCTCCCTTAAACATATCTGGAAACAAATGACTCAAAGCAGAAAAAGACAAATGACCAAACTGAAAGTGACATAACAAGACTTTGTCAATGGACTCTAACAAGACCGACTCTAAGGCAACTTCATGAGGTGGTCTAAAAGCTCTATCCGGTGTATCCAGCAAGTATATTCCATTCGCCTCATGGCCACTCCTAATCATCCTCTGAGATTGCAAGTCCTGAAAAACACAATGAGTGGGAAAAAAGGTAATGCTACAATTCATGGATTTAGTTAAGCTGCTAACAGATAAAAGGTTTGTATTAAGTTTAGGGACATGAAGGACAAAGGATAAATAAAGGGTGTCAGAGGTCTCTATATCCCCTTTACCAGAAATGGGAGCAAGAGACCCATCAGTAAGGGATATTTTCTTTTTACCAGAGAGAATGTGGTATGAGTAAAAGAGATTAGATAGGTTGGGCATATGGTCTGATGCACCGGAATCAATAATCCAAGGGATTTTATGATAACCTAAAACTGAAGCATGATTTGCAGAAGCACGAATACCTGAGTGAGCAAAAGCCGATGATGATGATGATGTGTTGCTGGAAGAGTGAGATGAAGAAATAGTAGCTTCCAAGTGATTTAGCAACCTCCCATAATTTTCAAAATCCGCCTTCATTGTTGCCAACTGCTTAATCGTTGATTTTTCTTCACTCTTCTTATTTCCTCCTTCAGGTACTGTAGCAACATTAGTTGTCTTAAGTTTTCCTGCCTGACTGCCCTTATTAGAACTGTTGTTATTATTAAACCTGTCAGGAAGAATCTCAGGATGAAGCTTCTAGCAAGTATCCTTTGTATGCCTCGGTTTCTTGCAATATTCACATATCTGATCCTTTTTCTCAGTAGGACCCTTTGGCTTTATTCCAACATGTGCAGAGTGTTCTATAGGTGGACTTTGTAACTAAACCCACCGCCTACTCTCCTCACTGCTTATCATAGCATATGCTTGGGAAAGAGTAACCTCATCTTTGGCCAAGATATTTTGCCTAATGATGTCAAACTCAGGGTTGAGTCC